AGAATCACCGTTACCCAGCTATATTTGAATAAAGGGTAATGCCGAAATAGTATATCCCAATCTGGAGAATTGATGTCACCCAGTCATATATTGTTTAATTATTATGTTATGTTTTTGAATGACTAACAATTTTGAAAAAAAAAATCATTTCAAGATGATCACTGCACCTGATCTAGGGCTACCGGTAAGTATGTTAGCCTTAAGTTTGATATCATATCGTTTGCAAACAGCAGCGTTGTTTTGTTCTTAGTGCGCTATTACGCATGGAATTTTCATTTTTTGATGTTGTCACACGTTCAGTGTATTCTGGGCCGAACTTGTTATTCGGTAGTCACTGTTTCTCGTATTGAATTGAATATTCAATTAGTCTAACTGATATAATCATATATTGTCTTTATTACTATTATTGGATTCGACAGTTATGTTTATCTCCACCTTTTTGTTGTAAATATTGAACCACTTCTTCGTGTCCGTTCTCTAACGCTATACCTGTAGGAGAGTATTCAGTCCAAGAACTAGCACCATTAACGTTTGCGCCTTTCTCCACCAATAGTCGGACCACTGCTAGATGGCCACTATAAGCAGCGTAGTACAATGGCGTGTGTTTCTCACCGTCAACTGAATCGACTTTGGCGCCATGTTCAATCAGCTTGAGTACACATTCTTCGTGTCCATACAAAGCAGCACAGCTCAGTGGGGTTGATTTAGCCAAGTTTTTGACATCCACTTGTGCACCATGACGAATCAAAAGATCTATTACCTTACTGTGTCCTGCCCATGCAGCGAAATGAATTGGTCTGCACCACAAATGGCACACTGGGTTCACGTCACCACCTTCTGAAATTAATCGTTCCACAACTGAAAGATGACCATTTTCAGAGGCGCGTGAAAGTGGTGTCATGTCATTCTCGTCTTTGATATTAACGCATGCTTTATGTTCAAGTAGAATGTCAACTACGTCTGCATGTCCTTTGGTGGCAGCTAAATCCAAAGAAGTTCGACCTCGTTGGTCGGCTCCATTCACTTCAGCCCCATTTTCCAGTAACAATTTCACCAAATCGAAAAATCCTTTCTCGGATGCCAAATGAAGCGCAGACCTTTCGTTTTCATTGACGGCTCTTACATATGCTCCAAATTCAATGATTTTCCGTGCGGTTTCCAGATGCCCGTACCCTACTGCATAGTGCAACGCCTTTGAAAGTTGTCTGTTACCAACATTTGCATCGCCTCCGTGTTTTAAAAGCACTTCGACTACGTCCGAATGTCCGTTCCCAGCAGCATAATGCAGAGCAGTACATTGACTTTTACTTTTAGAAGCAGCATCTATATTGGCACCGTTTTTAATAAGTATTTCGGCAATCTCAGCGTTGCCGTAGTCTGCCGCCGGATGAAGTGGGGTGAAGTTACATTCTTCAGATTCGCCGAGAAAAGCATTTTTTTCTATCAAATACTCCACTACACTAATATGTCCCATCATGGACGCAACGTGGATTGGACTGAAACCTTTCAAATTGCTCTTATTTATATCTGCACCATTACTAACTAGCAATTCAACCAAATCCAAGTAACCAGCGGCACAAGCCATATATAACGGAGTGTTACCATAGTTACAAGTAACATTCACATCGAAGTCATTTTCACTAGAGAGCATTTCTGTCACAGACTCTATATCAGCTATCCTAACTTTCCGATGCAATTCACTCAAGCTTCTGTCGCTATCGGAAAAATCACAAATGCGTTTGACAGTCTTCGGATTACCTCTCTTGTTGGCGATGTCCAGTGCTGTACACTTGTTGTACTCATCCTCTTCGTTGTCAACGACAGCTCCTAACAAATTAGTAAAGTCTGAATAAAAGTAGATTGCAGTAATGAAATCTGAAAATCCATGAAGGGCAGCATAATGTAACAAGTTGTAGCCGTCTTTGATGCAGGAGAAATTTCTTTGTGTGCGTACAAGTTTGAACGCCTCGCACTTATTCGAGTCTTTAATGACCTGGAATAAGTTATCTTCCACGTTTTGTTCCGCCATCTGTGTGATGCCTGCAACAACGTGATAAAAACAGTTATTATAATATTCGCAACTAAGAGGTCAACCATTTGGAATCAATGAACTCAGGCTCGTCATATAAAGTGGCCGATCATTGTATTATTACGTAGTCCAGAAATTCCACACACACCACAGGGATCCCAGGAACTGTACGCGAAGCCTGTATTGCACAGGTACAGGTTTGGCGCACAGTATATGATAGTTCCTGGGTTCTCTATACACATGCAAATTATCTTTCACAAACATGGTGGATTATTTTGTGTTTCGACAGCGTGTTGCATGCGTCGACACCTGGTGTCCCGTAATCTACAGAGCGTTCACATCGAACTTTGAACCTGCTAAGTGGAAAATAATATATGTACTATATTGCATACGTAATTACGGCAAGTCATGACTGAGTCTGAAATTTCATAATGCAATAACGTTACTGACAAGGAATAGAAATTATTGTTTTGTTCAGTTTAAGGAGTTTAGGGCATGGTCTACTCATAATGTTTATATTTTGCAATACATTGTATTCACGATCGATATAAAAATAAAAACACTGGATTCGACCAGTACATTTTTGAGAAATTGATGGTAATATTTCAGTGAATATCGGCAATTTTGTATTAAAAAGATTGTAGCTTTTAGTTTCTATGATGGGAAATAACATCATATTGAGTGTTTTTATATTTGTCTTTCCAAATTACATTATTTCCAATTTTTGGATTTCATTCCTATTTACTACATTGTTAAAGTCATGCCATGAATTATTTTCGAAATTATGAGCTTTTACCTGTATGAGAACTTTCTGCTGTTAAACAGAATATAACTAACGTGTTCGTTCCCGATGAGCATTGAAATAGCTCTTCATCAAATGTCATATTGACTATTCAAACACGCCATAATGCTACGATGAACATTCAAACAGCCCGTCTATTTAATGCTACGATGACCATTCAAATAACACGTCCATTTTAAGCCACGATTACCTTCTTGGTCTAATCATGACCATCGTTCTAATACACTAATTCATAATTAGAATTATATCCAACATAATACGATTATCACGTTAGATTGTCAGTAATACTATTTTTTATATACTCTCTATATTATATGTATACCAGTTTTCACCATTATATGTGAACTTTCTAATATTAAGTTCAATTCTATTCATCTCGCGACAAAACCAACACAATTCATTCACATTAATCACTGATCAATAAAATATATAACCAGGTGACACCGTGGTTAAACTACACGTAGTATATTTCGCAGGGAAGTAACATATGGTCGTAATTTGTAACGGTGTGGTGCCAACACATCATCATCTCGCAATGCTGCAGCACGGCTATGAGAATACTCTTTTTATTTTCTTCATTGAATGAACTTGAAATTAAAGACAAGTCGTAGATATATTACCTCATAGAAAATCCTTCCTTTACATGAGATTCGTCACTCGTCGATGCGTCCAGCGATCGCACACAGATAATTACTCTTACTCAAAGTGTTAACGTGTCGGCGCTTTGACCTCTGACGCCAGTCAGCTGACTTGGATGGCTGACGATACCATTGCTGCTCATTCAAGATGAAACAATGATACTGTTCATATCACCGGCGCTGGGTATTTTATTAGAAACAACACTATACTTATTGAAATAATTAACTTCCGGCATTTAAATTACATTAATATTGTGTGTGAAATTTGAGCTTAAACTGGTAATATGTATCGAGATGATATGCTGGTAGGTGAGTGAAGTTGTTGAATTATACTTGTAATGCTCATGTAAGGTATGTGTCGAATATATTTATTATGTTACGTGATTCATCTGCGGCATTTACGATAAAAAACAGCATAAAGTACTGTAAATATGATAACAAACAGAGCCGTATAAAATTCACAAAGTCTAAAACTATAATATATTCGATGAGTAAATAAATGCCGCCAAGTGTCACTAACAATCACTGGGCTATAAATTGGAATGAATGAATACACAAGATGCACAGAAAAACAACTAACGTTCTGCTACTCTGAACTGCAATACGTAGCAAGAGTAAACCGCCCCCTACCAGCACTTGTACAGAAAAGCGCCCTCTATTAACGTCAAATATTTGTCTCCGCCTATACTACATAACTTTTATAATGAATGTGCGAGTGCATGCCATGCTTGTCCCAAGTTATATGAACATATTTGTGTTTCTTACTAGACCCGGGGTATATGATATGTAAGTCATGTTCTGGGAGCTATTGCAAAGCTGTCAGACTGTTTGCAAACCAGATTATTCGGCTCAAAAAGTTTCTAATCTTCTGTTTTTATGACAACTTTGAAATTAGTATAGGGATACACAAATAACTATCCTATTCATACCAAATTAGATTACACGCGACCCAGTCAAGTCAAGCATTTGGTATGAATCTGTGTTGAAAATTATACTTTACAAATACTTAAAGGACACATTAATTATATCGTGTCTTTGTGCCATGTTTAAATCAAATTGACGAAGGCATGCCGTAGATATGTCTGAGCATATACAAAAAAAAAACACGGTTACTGTAGTGGTTTTTTTCAGTTTTGAAGGGATGAAAATGTTCATTCGTTCAAAAAACATTCGTTCAAAGTTCGATGTAACAAAAAATAAATGATGTACATATGGATAGTGTTATGTCTGGTCCTTGTACTAACTTTCAACAAAACATCGGTGATTAGAAATTGTTTCCAAAATTTGTTAGAAACAGAATAATCACCAACCCGGCGTGAGTGATGTCAATACATAGCTGAATGAAACGAAAAATGACCTTAAAGATACATTGTAATGTATTTTCGTATGTATTGTCGGTGAAAGACAGCAGCACTCCATAGTAGAAGTATAATTATAGACACATTGTAATGTATTTTCGTATGTATTGTCAGTGAAAGACAGCAACACTCCATAGTAGAAGTATAATTATAGATACATTGTAATGTATTTTCGTATGTATTGTCAGTGAAAGACAGCAACCCTCCATGGTAGAAGTATAATTACAGAT